AGTATACCATGCCATATAGGTTATGCAAGAAAGATAAATAAGCTAGGTAAGACCTATAACACTAACATAAAGAGCTTGGTGTTCCATACAAATAGAACAATTAAGAACTGACAACCTCTAAATACTAGTACATGTTATAGGGGCATTAATAGAGTTATGTGATGATATAGAAAGACTACACTAAAGCTTAAGGTCATTGTTGGTAATCACATCTATTTTGCCATCCAAACTTAGCATGGGAGATCAGGGAACTTGGCAATGCGATGTCTCTCGGCACCACAATGTTTCGTCCAAGCAGAAAAGGCCTAGTTTATTTCATGTTCAAGTGGGCGGCAAAAGCAAAACCAGTGCAAAAACATACACTTAGAAGACCAACAGCACTAAAGCCAGAGTCACCCACAACATCCCTGTCCTTCTGTATTCGATTACTAGATCTAAAATTGGAATACACTAGGTTCTCTGATATAGATCGAAGGATGCTGTTGCCTTGCCAAAAATTGGAGTGCACCAAGTTCTCCGAATGCAACCCTCGCCAAGATCCCATCTGAAATTGAAGATATGTCAAAGCAAGATTTTGATCCGATGAATAAGAGAAACCCAAACCCACCAACGAGATCATGTCCCTCAATATTCAGTCACAATCTTCAAAAATCGACAGTAGATGTAGATCGAAAGATGCCGCTACCTTGTGGTCCCTTGGGCAGAAGTTTCCAAAGCAAGATAGTCGACTAAAAAAGAAGGAAGAAATCAAGAGGAGGAAGGGAAGGGAAAAGGACAGGAGAGAAAGAAGAAACTCCTTGCAGGAGAGAAACCCATAGCCACCGCCCTCAACCTTAGGCAAAGCACGAGAGAAAAAATCCTAGTTACCATTAGAAATGTTTGGTGTAAGGGTTACTGATAAGATCAAGTATTTATTTTAATCATTTTAATCAAATATTTTAAATTATAAATAATAATTATTTTATATTAAATTTTAATTATTAGTTATCAATTAAATTTAAACAACTAATCTAAATAACTTATTATTCATGTATTCATGTTGTATGTTCGGAGAATATCCAAACTATTACAAAAAAATGCCATTACTATTAATTAAATAAAGAAAAAAAATTGCAGTATGGTTCGATAATTGGGTAATGTGTAGAGGCTCACGAGGTAGAATTGGCAATTGGCTTCGTCACCATTATCGAACCGATGGCCCAATCGATAAATACCATTAACTGTTTGAACCTATTGTATATTCAAAATATATTACCAACTACATTTACCCATTATTGAAAGAGAATAGTACATGTTATTTTTAATTTTAACTTAAAAGACAATCATCTTTTAATTAATATTTTCTAAAATTAATTATTAAATTTAATATTTTATCAATACAAATTATATATGTTAATTTTTAAGTTGATCTAATATTTATAATAATTTGTTAAAGAAACTTGTATTTTTAACATATATTTAATTGAAAAACATTGATAATGGATGATATTGTCTTCATTTAACTTTTTACATATGAATTTTAAATAAAAATTACATAAAGTCTACAATGACAATTAGCATTTTTTTCTATATTTAATTCTTGTTGAACAATTTCATTTGATTAAAAAAATTTTAGTTGCTATATAAGGGGTGTTTGTTTGACTTTTTAGGAATAGCTATCAGCGGGTGGAGTTATTACTACATCTTAAATAGTTAATATCACACTTTTTAAATATAATTACTTATTATACCCTTACATTACACTTTTTCTCAAAATTCTGTATTTTTTTGTTTCTTAATAAATTAAAGGGTATAATAATCATTTAAAATAAAAAGATGTGGCATTAGTAATTGAGGGTGTGGAATAACATCAGTCATGTTGGTTTTAATCAAACGAATTAGATATTTTAAATTATAAATATCAACTATTATTAATCATCAGATATCAACTATCAGCTTTCAATTGTTTCAAAAAAATTAATCCAAATAGCCTAATACACACTATGGTTAATTTTTATTTGAAATCAATGTTTAAGAAACCAAAAAATAAAATTAAATCAATTAATAAATATTTGAACGAAGGTATTTTTTTATGGGATATTGTTTACACTAAAAATAACACCTAATCTGAAGTTGCCACATCAACAAGATTTTACAACTGATCTAGAATTAGTTTCCCTACAATCCATACTGCAATTGTTATGGTAGACTAGTGCCACATGTTCAATTGGGGCTCTATGATTGGTTTAAGATGTGCCACATCAACGAGCTTCGATGATGATTTGGAGTGAGCCTGTTGCAACTTCATAGCCCACAAAGGTGAATGGTGGGCTGATGCCACATGGAAAGGGACAAAGCATATCTCTTAATTTTGTTTAATTCAAATTAGAAAGTTAGAGGATTTTTAGGGGAAGGTAATGTTAGGGGTTTTATAGAGTTAGACTTGGAGTTAAGCTTGTAACTGCTAGACGTGGGTAATTATCATCAGACATGGAGCAACCAGCATCAGTTTGCTATGGGAAGAGGATCGAAAGTCATGCAACAACTACCTTAACATCAAAGGAAAACAAGGGAGAAAATTCACTTTCTTCAGGCTTGCTACTTTCAAAAATTGCCCAACACACTGCAATTTTAAATTTTTAGATTTTATCAACCAACCATTAGCATAGATTTCTAGATTTCTAGATTAAAGTTTCAAGACCTATTCTTGTTTATAGCTTTAGCTTGAATCTTCTATTTTATTGAAGGTCTGCCTAGCATAAGAATTTTTAGAGCCAAGCAAATTTGTAGCATGCTTTCCAAATTGAAGCTTTGTAACCAAATCTTATTTCATTTCTACTATTATAGACCCATTGTCATGTTTTTATTGTTATCATTATGTTCTTACCCTTATTAGGTTCTTCTCATGAATCAGTCTATAAATCTGTCAAGATAAAATTTCATATTTGATATGGTGGTTGATTTGAGCTTTACAATTGTTTTCAAGTTATATTAATGAAGTCATGTTTCTTTTTACTTCAAAACTCCTATTTACTTCCATCTTTTCTCAATGTTTTTACTATCTAATTTGCAAGTAGAATAATTTCATCTGTAATATAGCTTTTTTTATATGTTTGCGAATTTATTTTTAGTCTGCAAGTATAGTTCATTAATCTATGTAATTCTTAGTTAATATGTTGGTTTGTCATTCCCTTTAATTAGTCCAGTCTACATTTCAAGTATGTTTTATAGCACTTTTTAGCTTTCTTTTGTCTTTTAGTTGTTATACCTTTAGTTTCCTTTTAGTTGTCTACGTTTTAATTGTTGTGTTTGTCTTTCTCACCACTAAACACACTTCATTAATCCCTGATCTTCCTCACCACTAAACACACTTTATTAACCTTTGATGTGAGAAGTCCCTGATGATGTACTAGGAAATTATTTTGAACCCATTTGTGTAGGAAAGCATCATTTCTTCCTCCCAATCATTTGGTTTGGGGCACATCTCTTTCTTCTAGCCATTCAACTTGGAGGTCAACTACTCGAAAGAAGAGGGTTGTCAAAGAAGTTTTTTCTTATTTTTGATACAAAGCAAGTGACATGTTTAAACATATTTGCCACATGGCAGCCAAAGGGAAGATTTTTGGGGGAAATAGATATCATCACGCTTTTTTATATTGCACAAAATGGCCATATGCAAAACAATGCTCCAAAAAATTCAAGAACAACTTTAAGAATCTCTTGTCTCACAATCTCTCTCCGTTCCAAGGTTTGAAGTTTTAGTTGTGTAACAATACTCATCTTTTAGTTACCATAAAAAAAAAAAAAAAAAAAAAAACTAGGTGGCCATATTCATGTCATAATCTTCTTCCAATGAAGCTCTTAAAGTATTGTTTAAAATAGTTAAGAGTTTAGAATTTTAAATTAAAAATTTTAAATTTAAATTTTAAAATAGACAAGGAGAAGTTAAAGGAAGGGGGCATCCTCTCTATTGCATATAGTGTATAATACGATATACCAAAAAAAGAAAATTCTTTCTAGTGAAGGTAAAATATCTTTATGAATTCAAGTTATATAACAAATGAGTATGGTAAACTGAAAGATAAAAAATAATTGTATCTGATTATGAAATTAAAATTATAAAAAAAATCTAATTTTTTTTTTGGTAATTATAATTAAAGTGTTAAAAAGATTTTGTGCATATCGAAACTAATTCTTTTCTACAAAATTATATGGACTTATTTACCACATAAACCTAGTACAATCAAAGAATTTTTTTTAGATGAGGAAAGAAGAAATCGCACGCGAAGGCAATGGACCAATTATCACCAATGTTTTGAAACCCAGATCGAACCAGTCGGTCGGACCAGTCCGACCGTCGCCCAGAGCATGAAACGGGCTGGGTTGACACCCAGGCCCGTTTGGACGATTGGCCTGTCCAAACCCAGAGAACTTGTTCAACCTGTCTCGCCCGGACGACCCGGCAAACCCGCCAGGAAAATTGCTTTAGGCTGGACATCACCGACACAGCACGCTCTGCAACTTTTTTTTTTTTCCCACAATCGGGGTTTCTAATTTCATTCCATTCTCAACTCTTCCAACTCTCAACTCTTACCACAACCAAACAAAATCAGAAAACCCATTCTCCAGTGTTCATCATCCATCGTTCTCCTTCTCTTCTCGGTTTCTCCACTCTCCAGTCTCCATCTTTTTTTCGGCGAAAAAGAAACCACAAGGCAGTAGATCGAGCAGTAAATCTTCATCATCAATCGTTCTCCTTCTTGGCTTCTCTAGTCTCCAGTCTCCATTCTTCAGTCCCCATCTTTTTTTCTGACGAAGAAGAAACCACAAGGTAGTAGATCAAGCAGCAGATCAGCGTTCATCGTTTCTCCAGTAGGTCAATAGTCAGCAGGTAGCAGATCAACACCATCTTGGAAGAGCCAATCTAAGTCATGGATTCGCTTTACAAATGTAACAAAACTAAAAGTAACTGGAAAAGGCAGATTAGATGCTAGAGGATCTGAATGGTGGGTGGGAGTGGTGCCCAAGGGTAAGCATAATTAA